CCACTTACTTTCATCCTCTATGAGCCAAGATGGCCCGAATTTCCATAAGTTATCATCAACAAGGCTTTTTAGTGATTCTCCTCGAGTTAATTTATCAGCAGGATTTGAACTTCCTGTACAGTGTTGCCAAAGTTTAGGATCTGTCAGAGTTTGAATTTCAGACACTCTGTTTTGCACGAAGGGTTTCAAAGAGTTGTTATTCTTTATCCAAAAATATGTAATTTGTGAATCCGTCCACAAATAAAATTGTTGGCAAATGTCACTAAACAATTTGTGTAAATAATCATAGATTCTAGCACCAATAACCGCTGACATAATCTGTAAGGATTGGTGCTACCCTACTTTTGGACATAATGAATGAGGTCTTAACTTCGTTCGAAATATTTGCATATCTGAAATACGCTACAGCACCATAGGCCTTTGTGCTAGCATCAGTAAAAATATGAATGGCAATTTCTTTCTTATTATCACAGATATCGAAATATTTCCGTTCCATAAAAAAGTTCTTTAAATAATGAACTTCAGAAATCCAATTGTTAAAGTCTGTTTCAATATCTAGATGCAGAGGGTCATCCCAATCGAGTCCAGCCTTCCGAATGTTTTGCAGCAAAATTTTCATCTTAATAACAAAGGGAGAAATTAAACCGATAGGATCATAAATTTGAGCACCAAATTTTAAAACAGTACGCTTGGTGCACTGGATTGACTTAGATGATGACTGCTCTAAATTTTTATATTCAATCAACAGTACATCACTTTCTGTATCCCATCGAAGACCTAACACCTTTGCATGTGCAATTGATTCATTAATGGCTATACCATTTTGAATCCATAATTTCTTTAATTCGTTTGAATTAGAATTAAATTTCCGTAAATTCATACTCGCGGATTGCAAAATATTTACAGCATCAGATGACAGTCGATATGCATCATTAACTGTATCAGTTCACTAGTAGAGATCGTCCACGTATAACGAAGAATTTAACATTTTAACACAATCGGGTTTGTCATTAGCATATTTTTTAATGTGGTACTTTATTATTGCTTTCAAAATGAAAGGGGAAGTGGTAACTCCGAACGGTAACCTTTTCATATTCATAATTTTAAAACCTTCGCAATTATCATAATCAATCCAAAGAAATTTTAAATATTTATGCTCATTTTCATCTATCTCTATCATTAAAAACGCCTTCTCAATATCACCAGAAAATGCAATTTCATGCTTTCGAAAATTTAGTATGACATCCAAAATATTCGGGTTCAAATTTGGACCTGACAATAACATATCATTAAGGGATTTTAAACCAATATCCTTTGAACTAGCATCGAAAATGATACGAACACGAGATGTTTCTTTATCGGGTCTTAAAACAGCTGTATGCGGCATGAAATAACCAGAATTAACGGATTTATCTTTACATTCCTCAACGATTCCATCTCTTATCTGATCCTCAATAATATTTGCATACATGTCAAAAATATTTTCATTTTTACTTCATTTTATCATTAAATTATCAAACCGTCTTTTGGCAATAGAGAAATTACTATCAAGATCATCGGGATTTGAATTCCAAATTAATCCGGTTTTATAACGATTGTTTTCATATTTTAAATTGCTTTCAAATTTATCAATTGTTTCTTTATCTTTTAGAGATAAAATTTCACACTCCTTGGTGATACCTAAGGAATCGAGTGACCAGAATTTTCTTAAATCAAACATATCACCTGATTCAATTAAACTTTTCATAACCGCTATGTTTTGCGACAATGTATGCTCCCGTTTACAACTACTTCCACTAATCACCCAACCAAGAACAGTTTTTATTGCACACAGGCGATTATTTATAGTTATCTTTTCATACAAAAGAAATTCCCAGAATAAATCTGAACCAATCAAAAGTTCTATACTCAGCAAATTATCATACCTTCCAAATAAGAATCAGCCATATCAATTTTATTTTTATTCATAAATTCAATTACTTTGGGGTCGGGAGGTTCAACTTGAACTCTAGTAATGCATGGTATGACAAGAGTTTTAATTTTAGTTCTAAAATTCGTATTCTTTTTGAAAATTTCGAATTCAACAACAGGATAAGCCTTTTCTGTTGCTCTTTGCATTCCAAATGAATAAACTGATAAAACTTCGTAACCAACCGGTTTTAAATTAAAATTATTTGCAACTCGTTCAGACAAAAACGAACGCTGGCTGCCATTATCTAAAAGAATTCTTGTCAATTGAGACGAAGAATCTGATTTAACTTCAGCAGTACAAGTCTGCAAATAAACCCTTTTGGAACATTCAACTTTTTTATTATTACATTGGGAAACAGAACTAATAACTTCCTCATTGGAAATGCTTGATGGTGGAGTTTCATTAGAAACTGCAGCCAAATCAGAAGATTCATTTAACTCTAGCTCAGCATTTTGAATTTTACTAACTTTAGCATTATTTATCCCCTTATTACCTCCTAAACAAATAGATCCATGATGACTTAATCCCTTACATTTATAACAAGGTAGTTTATTTACACGACAATTCTTGCTTGCATGAAACAATTTAAAACACTTGAAACAACGATTAGAATTTTTCAATAATTTCACCTTGTTTTGGGGAAACATATTACATTTAAAAGCGTCATGGGGTTCAGAGCAAAAAATGCTTATTGACTGTGTCATCTGTGCATTAAGCGCAGTAGCTGAGGGTGTGCCTTTATTAAAATTTCTGTTTATATACCTATTTTGCTCGTTATGCAAATTATAGCTACCTCGATGGTTATAGTTAGTCTTTTTATCATTAAAAAACGCAACCGATTCACGACATTCTATCTCATTCTTTAAAAACAGCAATAATTCATTAACATCGGTTTCATCTATAGATTTCCGTTTTTGTTGAAAATCCAAAACAAAATCTTCAGGCAATAATTGTAAAATTATTGGTATCAAAAGTATACCATAAGATTCAGACTGAACTTTCATTGAATCTAAATTACTAACTGCGATGTCTAAGTCATCGTACAATTTGCGTAATGCTGTAATATTAGAGGTATGTTTAACACTCGAAAAACTAAGTATTTTATTAACAAATGAATTCAAAATTAAATCTCTACGACCATATTTCTCATGTAATAATTTAATACAATTATCATAATTATCATTCGTTAAATCAAAACCTGATACAACATTACCTGCCTGGCCAGTAAGATAAGATTTCAAATAAATGAATTTTTCAATTTTAGAAAGTGATTCATTTTTATGGATAGTATTTTCAAAAGAATCCCAAAAAGAATTAAAATATTTCGGATCTCCCGAAAAAGGAACAATTTGAATTTTCGG